ACCAGCACGGAAAGCAACAGTGTGAGCAGCTACTACGAGAACGGGTTGAATTTCGACTGGCACGTGCTCTCGCCGATGATGACGAACTGGCGGAATGCGAGGTTCAGCTCAAACGGATTTCGCTGCAACTTCGATTCCAGCGGCAATAACGAAACCGGCGCCGACGTGAAGACCTTGTGAAGGAAATTGATGGGGGCGCGGAACAATCGTTAGCTGGCGGGGGCGGGGAGACTTGCACGCGTTGCGGGTGCATGCTTAAACTGCGCAAAAGACGGAATATTCATTCGAGAAGGTGCGTTACTGGAAGCAGAGCGCACATAATTCTGGACAGGATTTGTTGGCCGCTACCTGGATGCGAAGGCGGCATGAGCGCCGCGCCGAAGACAGCGGGGCAAGCTTTAGCTAAATGTCCTGGTCCTGGCCCTGTCTATATCAGCGCTGACGACTGCGAGTGGGCACAAACAACAAAATGTTTGCCGCGTCTGGAAGTATGTCAAGCGGGCTCAGAAGCGCAGGGCAGCACCACCAACGACCCCTCCGGCAGAGCTCTGGCCGATGTGTTTCGGCCCCAAAAGAACTTCCAGACGCGATTGCTCTTCGAAGTTGCTAAGCGGCCTGTCGGCAGGTCCGATCGACCAACCGGGCCCCGATCGACTGGCATCGCAGTCGCGGGGCGCACTCGCGGAAGAATGCATCCCCGGGCCCGACGGGCCGTCGCACCGTGCTCGCGGTGGCCTCGGCGGGCAAGGTTTTCATCATGATGTGTTCTACGCTCCACATGACCTGTTCGATCGTGGCTTCATCCCAGGCAAGCGGCGCGAAGGTGGCGTCTTTGCGACTCGCATCTTTGGACGGCGCCCGCGGAAAGCAGGCTGTTGTTTCGCCTGGAGGCACGCGGGCCCGAGCAATGCGTTTGCTGGTAGGCGGCGGGAGGAGCTGGAGAAGACGGTTCACTTGCGCGTCGAACCAGAAACATATTGACGCACGCATCGCACGTTTCATCCATGCGCGACTCCTTTGGGGACTCCTCATGCGGGGCCCGCGCAGTGCCCAGCCGTTTCGGGGTGAGCTCGTTAGGCCCCCAACCCTCATGGGAATGCACGACCCAGCCGTTTGACCCTGAAGCGCCCAGGCGAATGGCGAAGTGGAGGGATTGAAACGCGAGTGCGGGGGGATGGATGCGCGCGCGTTGTCGCCGCCTGCCAGGCGCGTCTGGTTTCGGCCCACAACCCCGCGAATAATTTTCTGGATGTGGTCGGGAGCTTGGGGCAGGAGGGCGCGCCCGAAACCTCGCTAAACAGGAGCTGCAGTAGCATGTTCGCGGGGCGGGGGCTGCCGCCAGCAAACGGCTGGCGCGCTGCCGCCCAGAGCTTGCACCTAAAACCTCCCGGGATGCAGCGCGGCACCTCGGCCCGACACTGAACGCCGCTCGGTCTGCCGAGGTCCAGAATGGCCGACGCCGCGCGGCATGCGCAGACTCCGTTTAACCGCTGGGCCAGAATGGCCTCTCTCATTCCGCGTCGACGGACGCGGGCTTTTTTTTCCTTTTTTTTTTGTTTAAAAAACAATATATATATATATATATAAAAAAATATATAACAAAAAAAACAAACAAACAAACAAAAAAATGTGCGATGCGCAGCCTTCTCAGGCCCGGATCCGCTGATGCTCGCCCCCGCCGACTGCGCCCGGCCCGATGGTGAGATCGCCCGACCCTGTCGCCGAGCGATTCGGGGCCGCCGCTCGATCGATGCCGACGGCGCAGATACTGGCGCGCCAGCGAAGAGTATCTTCGGAGACTGGGCTCATCACTCGCGAGCTGCACTGGCGCGCGGGATGGGTACAGTTCCCTCCGAGGCGCCATCAGGAACCACGCCTTCTTGGAGAGATGCCCGGAGTTCCAGGAGGCAGGCGGGGCTGTCCACGCGGGGGCGTTCCGTCTGCTTCGGCATCGCCATGCCGCGGTTCCGCGAGCTCCACGGGGACTTCCAATGGGCAGGATGAGGGCAGGACGTCCGCAACTACGCGCGCTTGAACCCCGGCCGCGCGTTCGACGCGGATGTTGTAGAGGAGTTCTACCCGCTTGATCTCGCAAAGATCCGAGCTCGGGCCCCGTCGCGCACTGCTCCGACGCATCGCGAGCGGGCGTTCGACTGGAAGCTCGGGGGGCCGATATGGGAGAGGAACAAAGCTCGCGGTTGCATCTCCGGCAATCGTCGCGGTCTTCCTAATCGCATGAGAAGGGCCCACCTGGTCCACAGCATCTGCTTTGTCCTTGTTCCAGCAAGCACGCGCGCAATTTGCCGCCAGACTTCTGGGCGCCGGGGGGGCGCCGACAAACGCCGCCAGCCGCCGGCGCCTCGCCCGCCTCGAGACCCCTTGCCTTCTGCGCGAAGTTAGGCCCTGGAAGAAAACGCGGGGGCGCGCGGAGGAGCTCGCGGCGCCCGATCGGCTCCAGCCGCCCCCGCCTGCCAGGGGGCCACCAGACCTCAGGCGGGCCGCGACAGAGGCTCGGGCCAAGATCCAGGCGGGCAAGCCCGACCGCGAGGCCATCGCACAGCTGATCGCCCCCACTGCGCGTCTCGTCCACGCCGACAGCGGAGCCGTCGCAGAATTGAGAGCGACGGCGCGCGCCGCGTGGCCCCCTGCTTTCGTCGAAGGTGGCTTTTCGGACATGATGGAGATTTCTGCCCGGCGCCATCGGGAGATGCCACGGGGGGTCGCGGGGGAAAACAGTCGGGCGAGGCCGTCGGTTTCAAAGGTCGAGGGCCCCCGCGTCTACGCGCATCCCCGAGCGGCTTGATGTTGTCGCGTCAGCAAGAGACTCTTTTGGGCAAGGAGCTGAAGAAGTCTTGCATGTCTCACCGGAACCGGCTCACCCTGTCTACAGTCGTGCGAGATCGCGCTGCATGGCAGTGGAAGCGGAGCACGAGTGAGAGCGCAATCGAGAAGCAAGGCCGATTGATCATCGCTGTGGACTCCGATCACGAGCCGGGCCGCAAGCCGACCCCCATGTTGCGCACATCGGTCTCAGACATGAACTGAGAGCGCCAGGTTGAACCCGCTCTTCGCGGCCCGCTTGGGAGAGACGCAGCGACTTTGCTCGGCCAGCTCAAGAAGTGAGGGAACAACTTGGCGCGAGGTATTGTGCCGCCTGATGTGTTTCACCATAGGAGTTCCCCGCCCACCCATCTTCCATTTCCAACGGTCTACGGCCCTTCCCTTCCGCAGACTCCCACGTCTCTTGCAAGGCCAACGCCCCGAGGACGAGGACGAGGTGGAGGGACCAAAAGTCGGGGTCGGGGGAGGTCCCATGGAAGTAACGTTACATATTGGTAATGTTGAAACGGATGTTCCCGCCTCGTAGAAGTCCCCCCCAGGCTCCCTTCCCCTCCTCGCTCTGTGTTGCTGTCGGTGCCGCCATTGCCTTACCTTGTCGTTTGTTTTCTGTCGTGCGTCGTCGTCGCCGTCGTCGGGAACCTGAGGTAAAGTGTATTTCATCGGACCCCAGGGGGCGCCTCCACGGTTGCGTGGGGGGTTCACAACGAAGCGACACTCAGAGATCTAGGCGTGGCGAGGTCTCAAAGCTTCAAGCCGCCCGAGCCAGGCAGGCACGCCAACTCCACCAGCCCGATCCTGGTTCCGATCCTCCCTCCTCCCCGTTCTGCCTTGCGCCCCTCCCCCATCCCCCCCACGCCCTCCCGCCTTCGTCATACCCCCCCCCCTCTCCTCCTTCCTCCCTCGCCCACGCCCGCGCGATCACATGCCTTCCGCGCTCTCCAGCCGAGCCAGTCCGGCCCTCCAGGCGCTCGCTGCTCGTGCCCGCTTCGCTCGACGGATCGCCCTCTCCCTCCACCGATGGCGGCTCCTCCCCGCCCGGTCGCTCCCGGTTTTTTTTTTCTCTCTCTGGCCGTGCGCGGCCCGCCGCCGAAGCCAGAAGACGACAGCAATTGATATTACCAGCCTGGAACATATCCCTATCCGTAAGCTGGGCATCGCCTCATCACAATGCCAATCTCAGGGATTCCCTTACTTTCTGAGGGCGCATCCCTAAGATTGTGATCGCCTTTTGGCGTGTCAATCTTAGGGATAGGGATACGTTCGAGGCTGGTAATGATATGCAGTCGAATGGCGGTGCTCTCGGGAGACGTGCCCGGTCCGGCGCGGGGCCCACCCCCCCGACGGTTTCCTGCGGTGGGCATCTTTTCTCGGGCCGAACGAAAGGGGGGGATAGGGAAAGGGGGGGTTACGAAATCTGCTACATGCAGCTGGTCTCGGCCCCGCCGCCGGGCCCATTCCTCGATACATGGGCGCCTCCCGGCGCCGGGAGGCGCTGGGAAAATCAGCTGCGTGAGCTGATTCTCAAACCCCCCCTTTGCTATCCCCCCTTTCGCCCGGCCCGATCTTCGGTGGTGGTGGAGGCTTGTGGCGGCCATGTCCCTTGCACTGATCCTCGCGTGTGGTGCGGACGCTGACAGTGTGAGCCGCAGCGTCTGATGAAACCAAGTCGCGACTGGCCGACCAAAGACATATCCGAAGCGGCGGCACGATTGAAGCAGCGGGTCCTGACAATTGCGGGTAGCAAAGATGGGCGTGAAAACGCTCGGACCTCTGACCCGTTACCACAGGGCGATCTTAATTTTCCATCCAGCCCGTCTGATCGCTTTCTTTGTCCACCATTCGATCTAGCCACAGAGGACAACTACAGGATAAACACGGGACAGCCACGGGCCAAGCAGAACAGGACCACCGCGGGACTGCTGACCTGCGGGCCAATCACAGGATCACGCGACAAACCAGGGGGGGGGGGGGGGGAGGGGGCGTCCGCCCCATGGCGGGGGGGGGGGAGGGCAAACTGATAGTTCGTGCCCTGCGAGGGGCAGGGTCCCTCCCGCACGCCAAACACGAACCAGAGCCTAAATCCTTTTCCTGGTTGGGAGCCCCCCTTCTCATGTCAATCTCACCTCGTCAACCTCCGACCACTCGCACCCAGTTCGGTTCAAGGCATTGATGACCACGGGTCGGCATGAGAGCGTTAGACGCAATTATTTTCCCCAACCCGAGCAAATTCGATGTCAAATGTTTTGGACTATGCTTCGGCAGCATCCTCTTGTTCGTCGTCGGGGTGTCTATTTCCACGTTGAAGGACGAGCGCAGGATGAGCAGAACGCTGGTCACAGACCAAGACCATCCCAGCGCCCTGCCAATTCACCGAGATGGTGCAATTGCGGGTTCAGGCCCGACAAACAAGGCTCGCGACAGGTTAGACGAATTCAGTGTGATTGGGGTCCTACCGTCCCCCAAGACAGAAATGCAGTTCAGTACGAAATGCAACATGACGATCGACATTCAAAGCAGGGTACTCAGCCTGAAGACGGAAGCAGGGGTTCTGTTGGTGAAGGAAGGTGGGATGTTCGAGGAGAATGGGGTTCTCATCGGAGATGTGCCGCCCCGAGCACTAATCTGCGAGTCTGCCGACACAGGGGCACAAGTTGGCGGCGCCGCCTTGTTTACAGTCACGTCTGGCGCGAGTTATACATTCAAGGGTTGGACGGGCTTCATAAATAAGTATTGTTGGGCCAAGCACCACCGCGTGCACCTTTATCTTTGGCTGGGCGAGGTCGACCGGAGTTTCCTCGAGAACAAGACAGAGGACGCACTCCCGTGTAGTAACCACGAGCCTGTGTCAAACCATTATTTCCGCCCGCTCGGCATGAGAGCAGTTCTCGAGGAGAAGAAGCCAAGTTGGATTCTCAATTTGGATCTGCAGGACGCGTGGTTCCCTGCGCAGCATTTTCTTTCGAACCATCTCCCGCGCTTCTTGAGGGAAGATGTCGGCGACCTCGTGAATGGCAAAGTGCATGGCCAAAGCCAAGTGTTCATGAACGGAGCTGTAATCGCATTCAAAAACACTGCATGGGCAAAATACTTCCTGCTACAATGGTTTAAAAATAGATGTGGCCGCAAAGACCAGCTCTCGCTCTGGCACAGCTTGTTCACTGAGTGGAAGAAAGAGATACCATCCTTAGAGTGGGACGTGAAGAAGCTGTTGAAATATGATACAGCGATGTTGTATGTGCCAAAGGTTGCAGAGCGATACCTTGGATGGAAGAACGGTTTCAATTCTGAAGAGCTACATCTGCCGCATGTAACAATCATGCCGAACGTGGCCAGGTCTCCGAATGTCGCGTTCCGATGGAGCGAGGACGGGCAGAATGAGCCCTTCATTTGTCACATCCGCCTCGACAAGGCAAACGAACAGGAGCGGAAGAAGTGTGACCACCGCATGGACCTGTGCGCTGAATCCTACATGTGCTCCTGCTGAGCCGACTGGGGTACCTGCCGATTGTCACGAGCTTCGGCCCGTTGCGGAGGCGGGGGACGAGCAGGAGCGCCAGCCTGGCGTGAGGGAAAGCGGTCCTCCGTGAAACGGGTCCTGGTTCATGGGGGGGTCCCCGCGAACAGGTTTTTGACCCGAGCCGTTCACGGCCAGGGCTCGGGAAGGGCCCCGGGAGCTTGGAGGCAGCGACAGTTCTCAACTTACGTTGCATCTTCGGGGGACCTCGTCTGTCCTGTGAGTTTTCGTCTGTCCTGATATCCAACGAACGGTCGGCTCGGCTTCGCCGTGCAGCCAGCGCGGATACGACCAGATTCGACGTGGATGTCCCCCGAAGATGCGCTTCAGTTTCAGGTTCGCCACCCTTGCGGGAAAGACTTGTGTTCATATCCATTGCAGCTTGGAGTTTGGGACTCCCTCCCCAGCAACCCGAGGCGCCCTGGATATACAGAGAAGCATCTGGCCCCGATCGGTTCGATTTCGAAAATGATGCGAATAGTGCCCGCGATCCTCGAGGACCCTGTTTCCCTCCCGCGGACGCCTGCGGAAGGCCAGGGCTTCGGGCGTGCGCGGGGCACTATGAGCGCTGTGGCGGCCAGGTGGCAGGCCGGGCTCCTGCCCGGCGCCCGCTGGGGTCCCAGGACGTCGGTTCCGCTGGCGGCGGATATGGATCCCTCGCCGCCTTGCAACCCTGGGGGGTCCACGTTGTGAGAAGCAATCGCGGCGTCTCCGGGGCCCCGTTCTTTTCCCCCCATCTCCGCGGCGCGATCGCCCTCGCTGCCGCTGCTGGTCCTCTTCCTCCTCCTCCATTTTTTCGTGCTCCTCCTCCTCCTCCTCCTCCTTCTCCTCCTCCTCCTCCTCCTCCTCCTCCTCCTCCTCCATTTTTTCTTGTTCCTCCTCCTCCTCCTCCATTTGTTTTTTCCTCCTCCTCCATTTTGTCCTGCAGTCCTCCTCCTCCGGCTTCTGACGCTGGGGCCCTTCATGGGAATCTCGTCGAGGCCTCTTGGGGGCCTCCTGGGTGCTTAGCGGAGGTCTCTTTCAGCTCTTCGGAGCGTCTCTGGCCCTCTTGAGCCGTCTTCGGCCTCTTGGGGCCCTTGTGGCGCCTCTTAGAGGCCTTCTGGAAATTTCTTGTGGCCTCTTGGTGTCTCCTGGAGCCGTTTCGAATCCTCTTGGTGCCGTCTTGGAGTTGCCCCAGTGTCATCGTACTTGGTACTGAGGCCCACGGTGGATTCCAGTGGCCTCTTGCCCAGATTTGTACGTTCAACTATCGGCTGTACTGTCACCAATTTGACCGTTGAGTTGATTGGCAATTGCAGTGGAATTGCACACATCCGCCCCCCTCTCCATGCTTCATGGCTCCCCACAGGCAGGAGGTAGTCGAACTTTACACTTTGCTGTTTCGATTTCCTGGCGCTCTTTCGACGCCGTCGACGGCGAGAAGGACGAGCAAGCCAAATCCAAAGTTGAATATTTGCCCGCCTGAAGCAGGCACGACGCCCACGTTTAAATTGTGACTGGCCCCTGGGGAAAACAAGAAGCAATCAAGAAACATTCGTGGAGCCGGTTTTTAGTAAGAGTTGAAGCAGAGGTTGTGAGTGAGCATATTACGGGCCAAGTTTTCAGGTAGACGCCTCAGGATGCCCAGTAACCCAGGTCCCCCAAGGCCACGAAGGTCTGGCAAGGGCGTAGGTTTTTCATCGTCCCACACCTCCCCGTTCGTGAAATGATGGAAGGGGTCTCAGATCCAGCTACGCTTGAGAATGACTCTTTCGCCGCAGTGGAATTTGTTGCGGTCCCACATGCTCCCCTCGCAGTGTTGGCTTGTGCGCTTGGGTTTGTCCCCCTCTCCCCTGCGGACCCCGAAAGCAGACACCAACAGTCGCTTTTGCCTGGGGCCATTTGCATGTAGCTGGGATAGGCTCAACCGTCTAGCTCTCCCTCGGGCCCAGAGAGCGCGGCAGAGGCATCTACAGGCTAGCTTGTAGCTTAGGCAATGCAGCAGGGACGCAGGGTATTCACCGTTCTGCATCTCCAAGGTCGGGCTATGGATTTGTGCTCGCTGCTGGTACGATCGAAGATGTCTGATCCCCCGATGGCCCAAGGGACCACCGAAAGCTCTGGGGCACCCCAGGACCCTCACACATCGACGCAGAATGTGCTCCACGATCTCTCACAGCAAGATGTCCTATCATATGTGTTTACCGTATTGGACCCCTCGTTCGCGACCGCCGTTGTCAGGAGCGTTTCAGGCAGCAACATCCGCAGCCGTTGCAGCTTCGTCCAGCGTGGCTCAACATTGCTCCCAGCGCGGCAACGGGTCCCACTAAGTGTTTGGCAGTGTCTGGGCTGGTTGGCCGGGTGGCCTGCGAGGGAGGGCGGGGCCACAGGGTGCGAATGGGAATGTCAATCCGAGTGCGATTTTGAATGTGAAAGTGTCCGCCGGCGCACGCGTGAACGCGCAACTACGCATGTACATTCCTCACGAACAAACACGCACACGAATGCATGCTCAAATCGCGACTCGGCACGTACGAAACAGCGCGATGATTGCGTTGATAGAGCCATGCGCAGGCTTCGGCATTGAGCTATCATCATTCACGTTCATCGAGCCGCAGACATCGCCTGTTCGGGTTCTGCTATGCGATGCCACTGAAGCTATCGAAACCTTGTTTGCTCGGGTTCAACGCCTTGACGGGCTTTTTGCGGCACATGTATTCCTACCTGTTCATTCTCGCCGCTAAAAGGACGAAGAGTGAGAAACGATGTGCACACAGATGTGGCAGTATAGAACAAACAAAGATGAAGAGCAGACAGAAGGGAACATTAAGCATAAGCCATTGACAAAAAAACAGGGGTGGAGGGAGAGGATAATAATATTACGAGGACGAGGAATAGGAGTCGGGGAGGGGGCAGAAGAAGGAGGAGGGGAGGTGGAGGAGGGAGGATGGAAGAGGAGGGGTAGAGGGAGCGGGGGAGGAATAGAAGAGGAAACGACACAGGGAAATGAGATTATGCTAGGGAGGAGATTGCTATCTATGCGCGCAAACGTCTTATTCCTGTCATCCCCCTCCTTCTCTGGTATGTTCGTATGGTCAAGTCTCCTCTGGCTGTACTTTGACCGACATGGTCCTACGTAGTATGGTCGGATCTTGTGTGACATACATCGTCTACCCTGGAGGGGAGAGGAGCAGAGCAAGATGGCTAGTGGGAAGAGCAGGATAGGAGAGAGACAGATAGAGACAGAGAGAGAGGAGGGAGAGAGGGATAGAAAAGAGACAGAGAGAGAGAGAGAGATGGAGAGATGGAACATGAGATGGAGAGAGAGGGAGAGAGAGAGAGAGACGTGAAGAAAGACGTGTGGCAACACTCTTGATGGCCTCCGAAATCGCCTCCCTCGGTGGAGCCTCCCGGAGGGACCTCTGAGGCTCATGTGTGCCTCCCGTCGGCCTCCTCGGCAACATTACAGCGCCTCTTCCGAAATCTGGCGGGGGGATCTCGGGCGCGCCTGGCACTGCACGTACGCGGTGGGTCGGGCGAGGGGTGGGTTAAGGGGGACAGTCTTTGAGAAGGCAGGTGGGCTCTTAGCTGGGCTCGGAGGCTGCCACCACCCGCGGACGAGGGGCGGGGGAGGGGGAGGGAAAGCGTCAAGTGACAGAGGTGGTGGTGGGGTGGGGGTGGGGGTGGGGGGGGGGGGGGGGGGGAAACGCTGCTGGAGGGCAGGCACACAGGCGCGAACACTGAAGTGGGGAGGGGGCGCGGAGGAAAGCGTCGAGCTGGAGAGCGCCAGCTGCTCCCGCGCCTCGCCGCACCGATCGGGCCCGAGAGTCCGCTCAAAAGCCCCGCGCGGAGGAGAAGGGGCTCCCGCGCGCGGGCGGGCCCCCGAGCAAACGCGGAGGGCGGCGATCCAGGTCACCCGCTTTCGCGCCCCGCGAGGCATGACGCGCGATCCTCCTCGCGCCCTCTTGCCCTGGTTTACCAGCCTCGAGCTTATCCCTATCCCTAAGATTGACACACCAAAAGGCGATGACAATCTTAGGGATGCGCCCTCAAAAAATAAGGGAATCCCTAAGATTGGCATCTTGATGAGGAGATGCCCAGCATAGGGATAGGGATATGTTCCAGGCTGGTAACCGGTGATGCCTCCCTGGAGAAGGGCAGCCGCTCTGGCACAGACCTCGGCGCGCGCCGCCGGCATGCGGGGCTGCCTCGGGGGCCGTGCGGCGACGGCGGCCTCGCCGGCCGCGCCGCGGGCGCCGCGGGGGCCCTCCGCGAGACCTCGGGCTGGGAGGGCCTTTTGCGCTGCAGCGTTTGGGCGCGAGGTGGTGTCCAAGTAGTCAAACTTGTCACACTCCGAATGGATAGTTCTACGCTTTTAGAGTTCGGTCTCCAGGGCCGGCTATCGAGCCCTGGGGCGAACAAGCATGGGCTTGGGACGACGAGCAGCCCCAGGGTAAGCGGTCGCGACCTCTGGGGCCGCGGATGGAAAAATGCACATCAGTGGATGTCAGGGGCCTTGCCTGCCATGTGAAGGCCTGTCCTTCCCTGTGCCCGGCGCTGATTCGACAGGGACTCGCGGATCCGACGCAGGCTCGACGCGGACCAGATGCGAAGCTAGCGATGCGATGGGACAGACGTGACGTCAGGTTACTCCCACGGGCGCGAGCATACATGTGTATATACATAGATATATATATATATATATATATATGTTAGCACCCCCCCCAGCACCCCACCGATTCATGTTTCTGAAAATCTTGTTTTGAAAACGTTGGTGTGTTTGCTTTGAATGGCTTCGCTGTTTCAACGCGCGTTGCACTTGGAAATCCTGTTGAGGAGGATTACAATGATATTCTTTTGAAGGGATCCCAATCGGATTTCTTTTAAAGCTGCTTTGGCCCTAGTGAAAGGGCAAGGAAACAGAAAACCAACAAAAACACGAAATCCAACAAAAACAAAGCGAAAACCAACAAAATTAATAACCAAGGCAGAAAAACCAACAAAAGCAATGGTTTTCAATAGTTTTCCCTTCTATCAGTTACAACAGCAAGCCCTTGTGTGGCGGAGTACAAAAGGATCCCTTTCGTGGCGGAATACACAAGGAGTTCCTTTGTGGCGGAATACACAAGGATTTCCTTTTGTGGCGGAATATTAAAGGATTTCTTTTGTAGTGGAATACAAAAGGATTCCTTTCGTGGAGGAATACAAAAGAATTCCCTTTGTGGCGGAAGCCAGAAGGATTTCATTTGTGGCTGAATACAAAAGGATTCCCTTTGTGTCGGAATACAAAAGGATTTCCTTTGTGGCGGAATACAAAAGGATTCTTTTTTGTGGCGGAATACAAATGAAAACAAATGGTTTTGCAATGTTTTCAATGGAAAACGATTGAAAACTATCGGTTGTGATGGTTTTTCTGCCTTGGTTATTAATTTTGTTGGTGTTCGCTTTGTTTTTGTTGGATTTCGTGTTTTTGTTGGTTTTCTGCTTTTGCCCCTGGGCCTGCGGCTGCCCTGTTAGCAACGGGGGAGGGTGAGAAACCAGAAAACCAACAAAAACACGAAATCCAACAAAAACAAAGCGAAAACCAACAAAATTAATAACCAAGGCAGAAAAACCAACAAAAGCAATGGTTTTCAATAGTTTCCCCTTCTATCAGTTACAAAAGCAAGCCCTTGTGTGGCGGAATACAAAAGGATCCCTTTTGTGGCGGAATACACAAGG